GGACCAGCCTCTGTGTTTCTCCATGCCTGACATGTAGCTGGGAATGATCACACTTCTGGGCTTCATCCTCCACCGGGGAGGAAGGCTGTATTACAGCCGATGAAGCCATCAGCCTCCCCGGAAATGGAGGCGTGTGCGTAGCTGAGATAAACAGTTCAGCCTTGGCGTTTTTCTTGAAAGTTGCTGCTTCTATTTTGGAGCTCGTGTGCCTGAAAGCCTGTCTGTACTGAATCAGTTGGTCTAATAAAAGATACTACCTCTCCTTACAAGCCTGCTCTGCACTTCTGAGCTTAGGTCGTTTATCCTTCACTTCTTGCTGCTGACAATGACTGAGGCTCCCTGGCCATACAATATCTCGGAAGCCAATTCTATGTCAAGCCCCCCAGGTTTACATGCGTGGCCACAGCGAATATACTCATTTACTGGAGAGGCTCATCAGCTCTCCCTCCTGCTGCTTTTGCTGCAAAGAAAGCAAACGGTGATCTCCACGGACCCTTCCCTGGGGACGTGGGCTGGTGCAGTCGGGGACCTCATGGGGCTCTGCAGCGTGGGTCTACCCAACCGAGAGGAATCCTGCTGGGCTTCCACCGAGCATTTCTCTCTTTAGCCACTCGTTAGCTATTATTTAACAGCTACTGCTGCTAATGAAGGGCCAGAGGCACAGAGGTGGCACTGCCCTAGGAGTCTCTGGCAGGGGTTGCACCCAGAGAGCCTTTGTGGGTCCTGTGGAGCCCAAGCTGCTGTCTGACCCTGCGTGGGCAGTTTTGGTGCTCTCTGTCCCAGCATCACCCATGTCCCAGTGACAGCGATGTCAGCCCAAGTGGCTGTTGACCTGGCTGCAGTCAGTATTGTTCAGTGCAGCACTTCCACATGAACACGCAGAGAGAACTTTGCTTAATTTTGTCATCTGGGAAGGCTACTATAATTTGGGGCACAAAATCGTGCTGTAAGGCAGTTCTGCTGGCTCCTAATCAGGACCTTCACCCCCATTGCCCCCACTCCAGGGGCTGTGAGAAGACTTGCAAGAGTAAAACGCACTGGACCTGCCCACTGTTTGAGTAGGGGACAGGTTTCCCAGCATCGCTGGCTCCCCAGGGTGAGGGGCCACACTGCAGGGTTGTCACCTGCAGGGAGCCTGAGCCAGGAGGGAAATCCCCTGCTGCAAAAATGTACATCACCTTCCTCATTAACAGCAGACTAGGAAAAAAATGAATGCTGCAAAAGAATAATGAACAGATCACCTGTGAGAAATGAGTTCTGTAAATGCGTATAGCACTGAGTTAAAGGACGGGCATTCACAGGAGATCATGCATGCTCACAGAGAGATAAAATGAGCTGAGCAAAAATGAAGTTTTTAAAAGTTTCTAAACTTCAGCTTCAGGGTGTAAATCAGGTCCTAACTAATGGAGACTGAGGGGAATCTTTATTTTGGTAGCAAGTTACTCTACAGCTCTGCCATAGAGCGTGGTGCCTTCCCAGGAAGAATCTCTTGTCAGCCAGTGTGAGAAAGCAGACGCTGGGCAAACCAGATCGTGGGATGATGCAGTCTGCCACATCCATCACTGCTACCCTCTTCTGTCGTGTGTGTACAGGGGAGTGACCTGCTCCATTAAATCTCTGCGTGCAGAGGGCTCTATCAGTGTAACTATTTGTAGCTGTAGCTGCATGAATGCTTTTCTCAGGGTTGGAGGGGGACTGAGCAACAAATACTGCAAACATGCGCAGACAATAACCCCTAAGCATGTAGTCTGTTCCACACGGTATCTGTGAATGCATCAGCGCTGTGAGATTGTATGAGCTGGTGTGTGTGTATATTTTACATATGTACTTCTCTCTCAGAAATTATAATTTGATGGCATGTGATTAAATGGGTCTTTTTTTTAATGTGTGGCACATGCATAAGGAAAAGTGTGTCTGCACTTGCAAGTAAAATAACCAGATATGAAGGAAAAGCATCAAAATGATCAGCCTGTGCACTAGGCTATTTCTATGTATTTGTAAAAAGCGTTGCTGTCAGTGGGAGTCTTACCAGGTCACACAGAGCAGCAGGGAGGACCGGTGTCCTCAGAGTCTGTGAAAAGCACCAGAGACCTGAAGGTCTTTCCAAAACATGTTCCCTTCAGTTAAAAATCAATTAAAAATCCCCTCCCTTTCCTAGTGCCTGAAGCATAAAAAAACGTTCTCTAAAGATCCTTTATTTTCCAGGAACTAAAAGTTTGGATCGGGGGTATTTTCAAATTAGAGGTGCCTTGCTCTTTGCCTCTCACTTTTGGCAACTGCAGCACTGCAAGCCCAACCGAGATTGCTGCGAGGAGGAGGAGGAAGATGAAGGCAGAAATACAGCTCTGTTTATGCTGATATGAGATCTTGGGCTACATGATCTCATCTAATTTTAAGTTACTCCAAATGAACTATCTCCAAGAATATAATTTTAATGTTTCCATATCAGGCCATTCTTATCTTTCTGCATTACCGTGATATCATTCAGGAATAACAATCGCACGTTTTGGTGCCGAAACAAGCTGGCGAGAAGAAATGGATTTCAGTCACTGCCCTGGAAATCGCTGCTGTCTTTAAAAAAAAAGGTGTACGAAGTTTATGAAAACCCGTCCTCGGGGGCCGTACGACTGCAACAGGTGCCCTGTCGGGACAGACGACTTGGGGTAAAAAAGGAAGGATTTAAGAGTGGAGGCGTTGGCTTCGCGAAGGAAACCTTTCTTTTCCTCTCTGCCTTTTTTTTTTTTTCTTGTAACGGGGGCATACATGGGATGTAAATGAGCAAAATCCAGCCCGAAGTGCCCCGAGCTGAGAGGAGCGGAGCGTGTGTGATGCATCGCGGCGAAGGCAGCAGCCAATGAAAGCCAGCCTGCCGATTCTTTTTCTTTTTTTTATCGTTAATATTGCGAGGCGGCATTAACTGATCGGGAAGACTTTTCGGGAGCGGGCAGAGTCTGCGAGCCATCACCCCCTTCCCGAAGATTTGTCCCGCTACCCGGATTTTTTTGAGGACGGCACCAGGTTTCCCTCCTTTAATCTCCGCGGGGGATGACGAATGGTAGAAGTCCCCCCCTCCGCGCCCCTTTCCCCCCGAAAAATCTGAGAATAAAAAATGAAAGCAAAAGGAGTTTTTTACGAAGATTTGTCCCGCTACCCGGATTTTTTTGAGGACGGCACCAGGTTTCCCTCCTTTAATCTCCGCGGGGGATGACGAATGGTAGAAGTCCCCCCCTCCGCGCCCCTTTCCCCCCGAAAAATCTGAGAATAAACAATGAAAGCGAAAGGAGTTTTGTATTTTTGAGCGGCGGAGGGGTACACGACGTACCGGGGCGGGAGGAGGGGGGTCTGGAGAAGAGTCCCCAGCGCGGGTTCGGCAGCGGATGCTGAGCGCGGCCGTTCCGCGGGGCAGAGCGCAGGCAGCCGGGGTCGCTGGTATCCCCCCCGCTCCCCACCCCCCAAGGGGGAAGACGGTTAAAAACACAAACCAAGTTTCCACG